CGTTGCATTTTGTTCACGATTGCATTTTGTGTACAATCGCATTTTGCACACAATTGTATTTGTACACAATTGCATTTTGTACGCAACTGCACTTTGTACACAATTGCATATTGTTCACAACTGCATTTTGTACACAATCGCATTTGTACACAATTGCATTTGTTTACAAAGGCATTTTGTACACAATTGCATTTTGTACACAATCGCATTTGTACGCAATTGCATTTTGTACACAATCGCATTTGTATACAATTGCATCTTGTACGTAACTTCATTTTGTACACAATTACAATTCATATTGTTTCGTTTTTAAGGGTGGGTTCTGAATAGGCAAACCCCGACAAATCAGGGAATGGAAAGTGAGTTGATGATGGAGACGAACAATCATCTGAATTTATGGCACTCACACGTAATGAAGGAGCATGTGAAGTGGATACGAGATGACATGAGGGAATGAGAAGTAATGATAAAGGAACAGAAAGTGAATAAAGCGCGAAGTGGCGTAAGGAGTGCGAGAATAAGGATGTGAAAAAAGTAAAAGGAACAGAAAGGATGATTGGCGAAGAGAAGAATGGGCCCAAGCAAGAGGAATCCTAAAGATGGGAAGGCTAAAAAATAATAAATTTGTGAGCAGAATGTCGGCCATGGCATAGCAGCGCCGAGTGCTTCTAGATGGCAATCTGAGGCAGCCATTGCAGTTGATCTAGAAAATGTCTGTCTTTAAATGTCTGTCTTTAAATGTCTGTCTTTAAATGTCTGTCTTTAAATGTCTGTCTTTAAATGTCTGTCTTTAAATGTCTGTCTTTGCTGCAAGTTTACTGGGGGGATATGAAGCGATGAAGCACAGCTTGAAATGGAGGGCAAAGATATCGTTTTAATACGTCTAGACCTTAAAATGCAATATATAACCTCCATATTTGTTGTATTTATTAAGAAAATATAATCTGTATCGTTTATATAATACTATTATGAAAATTATGCAATCGTTTATATGATTAAAATGCATTCTGAATGTTTTTAACAAAATCTGTACTATTTGATTTAAACACATTTCACGACTAGTAGTTTATGATTTGCTATCTTAAACATCAGAAGACGGACAATACTAATAATGCCATATTATATAGATAATTTGGCATTTACTGAAGCATGAGAACGATAATAACGATGATTTTCTATGAAAATAATGAATAGTTTCTCTATAATGACTTTCCATGAAAATTATTATATAGCATCAGAAAATAAATGTTGACGCAATCCAAAATGTGGTTTAATATATTGAAGCAATGCAAACTCTGCTCTAAAATTTCCCATGCAATGCAAAATATTGTTTGAAAATGTTCGCTCAGTACAAAAAAAATGCTCTGAAAATGTTGATGTAATTAATAATAAACCCTGAAAAATTGTATCACACATATCCCACATAAACAAATTAAAGCCATGAGCATCACAGCAGCACCGCATAAACAAATTAAAGTCATGAGCATCACAGCAGCACCGTATAAACAAATAATATTAAAGCCATGAGCATCACAGCAGCACCGCATAAACAAATTAAAGTCATGAGCATCACAGCAGCACCGCATAAACAAATTAAAGTCATGAGCATCACAGCAGCACCGCATAAATGAATTAAAGTCATGAGCATCACAGCAGCACCGCATAAACAAATTAAAGCCATGAGCATCACAGCAGCACCGCATAAACAAATTAAAGTCATGAGCATCACAGCAGCACCACATAAACAAATTAAAGTCATGAGCATCACAGCAGCACCACATAAACAAATTAAAGCCATGAGCATCACAGCAGCACCACATAAACAAATTAAAATTACATGCATTGATGCAAGCGAGGAAGATGAAATCTCAAGGAAGTCAAAACAAGCAAGGCCGCAGACCGTGGCTTGGGTCCTAATATTCGAGGCCATTAGAGATGATATTGGCGGCCGCTTGGCGCAAGCCAATCTTGGTCTTAAAGACCTAATCTATAAGGTCTATATTGCCCTCAAACTAACCTCAATCTGCCGTTACTTGTGGCCCTGGCTTAACTACATTGATTGCGGTCAACTTCCACGACACTCAATTATAGTCTTAATGCGGTAATGGCTTAGTGGCCAGCACAGTTGAGGCATGTGAGGGAAATGCCCTCTTGTCCAGCGCCATGGAGGCTGGTGGCACCAGGCAAATAAAAAAAACGCTGCATTTTCTGCTGAATTAGCGTTAATTGAACGTAAAGCAACGTAACTATGCTGCGTCTAATCAACTTTGATTCAACAAAGCAACGTTTAATTCAACGTTGACTCAAGTACGATGTATAGTGTGATGTCAATATCTTGGCGCCCTCGATTAGGTATAAAATATACATAATTGACTATATTTTTTGCTTGCGCTTTAGTTACCGCATTAAAAATTACATGACAAGCAACCGAGGAAGCATCATAATTACATAATTAAGAGCCACGAATAAGTCAAAACTAATGGGAATAACTTTAAAAAAACCGAATGATAAAAAAAATATACAAAAAGACGGCCGAAAAATCTTGAGTTAGAAAAATGGCTGGTCAGAAAAAGAAAGATGAGCGCCCAAAGTGCGGTGAACGACGCAAGTTGCGGCCAGCATATCACCTCAAATCCATGTTTTCTGCACTTCGTCAAGCTTCCTCGCAAAGTTCGCTGAAATTCGATAGAGGAAGATTTGCGAAGACGAGTCCCGGCGCGACGCAGTGCAATAACCGCCGTAGCCATGTTGGGAGCCCTTGTGATGGTGGCCGACCGACGGCCACCGATACGCCACCGATAAACCAGCTAAGAATTACCAGGATACGAAAGATTGGATGATGGCAGTAGGTCAGGCTGGCTGCAGCGTGTCGCGGCATTTTATATCATATAGCCATGGCAATAGATGTCAAGCTTGCATGGCGCTAGATACCATCGTAATATCGCCCATAGAGCCTTCGTTCACCGCCACGATGTCATCGCTTCGAGACCTGCAGAGCCTTGCCAATGTAGGCATACAGAGACAGGGTTTTGTGCTGCAGTCCGTACTGCGAAAAACTTTATTTCGTGACACTTGGTACTTCTTGGGTACTTGGGACAGGGTTACTTTTTATTACTTGAAACATAACTCAGATTCAATGAGGTAAATAAAAAATGAACGTTTAAAAATTAAAGCCTAACCACGAACCTATGTGATATATACCAGTGTTGCTAATCATTAGTAGTTGGCAAATAAAAACATATTTCAACACCAATATTTGCAAATTGGAAACATTTTGAAACACTAAATAAAGCCGCTAATCGGAATCAATTTTGTTAAGGCAGCTGTGGCAAATAATTTAATGCGGTAAATAACGAAATATAATATTAAATAACTAAGTTTAAGATGCTGCGACTATAATTCTTACTTAACTTAGAACCTCGTCTAGTTCTGTGCTGTGGCACCGGAACATGCCTGATGTTCCTGAGGAGTCTTGCAATTTAAACATAGAAATTTCATTGCATTTCAATACAACAAATTACTGTAAAAATTATATTTAAATATTGCTTCACATTTAATGCCCAATGTTCCTGAGGAGTTTTGTAATTCAATCATAGAAATGTCACTGCATTATAAAATTTGCCTTGCATTTAAAAACACCATATTACTCTGAAACATTCTATTTAAATATTGTCTGGCATTGAACAAAGAACAATATTCCTGCACTGCGTCACAATACAGCCTCACCATAGCAAGGAGGAGTCGAGAAGCTGGCAACTCCAGTCACGTCTAGCGGCGCCAAATCTAATCTCATATAACGGCCTAAGGACAATTTTGAAGCTCCCTCTCCTCCCTCGATGTCGTTCACTTCATGGACGAGCCTTTCTTAACCTTCTTCGATTTCTCGTAGACGCTGCAGGGTCGGGCGGCGCGACGCTCGTTTCCTTCAGTCCGATGCTGCTACAAAACAGCGCAGGGCATGATTCTTAAGTGTTATTAAACCAAGAAAGTTTATGAGAAAAGTATTTAAAATCATAGACCTGTGAATTAGGTTAATTTGCTACTAGTGCTCTTTACTACGACATTTCTTCTTGTTTCCGATAGCTCTGAAGAAATAATGCCAGGAGAGATTGTTTACAATTAGTCTATGGACATAGCTCCGAATATTTAGTTTACTTTACATCAATTCACTTCACACTATATTTTAAGATCGTCATAATATACAATATAGTCAGCACCGGTTCTAACATACACTGTAATCGATTATCCACGTACAATTATGGCGGTTTTCTGCAAGATAACACTTATCATTGATCTTGATTATGAATGGAAATTTTTTCCGATTTCTTGCATTTCGCGCGAAAAATCTTTCTCATCAATTCTCACAAGACTTCATCAATGAGAAAGCAACAATCAAGTCAACTTATTTACAACTATAATTTATAAATAGGCCATGAAATTCGGGTTAAATCCACAGGATCACTCAATATTGGATGGACCGAGACCTTTGTACTGCCGGAAAATAAATCCTAATATCAACTTTTACAAACTGGTAATAATTACAAGTGTATAGAAGTACTAAAATGCAGATTAAACCTTAACCCCGAATGCGGTTACTGAGAACAACAAGCCATCATTCCCACGCCCGGGATCTGTGAAGTGGCGTACCCTCTCGTGACCTCTGCAGCTTCATTAGAAAATGCGAATTTTCAGACGTAAATTCGAAAATGCAAATTTCAGATGCGTTGTGATGTTCTCAGTACACTTCCAAATCAATTTTTTATTTGTTAATTTCATAATTATTTAAATGGAATTGAAGATTTATCAATCAACTAGACGAAGAATAATGCATATTAAGGAAAATACTACCCAGTAGAGAATCTTTCCTATAATAATAAATGATCTAAACAACTTCCGCTAGAAATACATCTTGATAGAAAAATTATTTATTTAACATTCACTATGACCCAGTCAATACGAATCTGGCACTTCTAAGATTGTTTTTTTTTTCGTTGTTGCAGGTTTGGTTCCAGAACCGACGAACGAAATGGCGTAAGCGGCACGCAGCAGAAATGGCGACGGCGAAGCGGAAGCAGGAGGAGGCCACGGACTACGAGGACGACGATCAGGACGAGACTCCGGACCACGGAGGAGGCGACGATCACGTCTCCAGGGGCGCCGACCCCAAAAGGTTAAAACAAACCATCGACGACCAGCACTTCGTCGTCGGGCAAAGTTCTTCGTCATTGCAGCAACAACAATGTAATAATAATGGGGTATCTTCGGGGAGTAGTTCATCCACTTCCTCTTCTTCCCTTCTACCTCCTTCCCCAAACGCTGGTCCCTCATCTCTGTCCCCTCCGCGTCCCTCGTTACCACTGCTCCCTCATCCCATGCTCCCCCAGTCCCACGAAACAATGCCCCCAGGCCTGAATCACCATTTGATGCACGACCTTCAATAAAAATAATAAAAGCTCACACAAAGAAAGCAAATTTCTTTTAATAATTAAAACTGTGCGAAGCGTTAACCCGAAAATATCAATTAATTTAAAAAATCACAAAACTTTTCCATTGCAATTTATATCTGAAATTTTTTCATTTATTATTGTATTTCCCGTCCCAGATCGTGATTTTACAATATCAGATGAGAGTTTGTACATACGATCTCTTAGAATATTTCTTCAGCAACCGAAAAAAATATTCGCAAGCCACTTGAACATTTTGAAGCCCACCTTCTGCCGAGCGCAGACTCCACAACCGTCCAGTGAGATCCCAATGGTTGAACTAATAATTGTTTAAACCATGGGTAATTATAATCACTTATATACCCGTATGATGTGGGTATATCGGATATATTAAATACCCTTAGAGCGGTGGTAATTCAAATCAATTAAATCCCCGTTAAATTAGGGTAAATCTAATCAATTATCTACAGGGATTCCCTAAACGTTGTTGCGTTTTAACAGAACATCGGCTTACAAAATTCGAACGAAATAGGTTACTTATAAAAAGTGAATAAATAATTTATGCGTCGAAAAGAAAAGCTAAAATAATATTTCCAGTGCGCTGCCAATTTTTTCTGCCTAGTATTTAGACATCCTCTATTATGTAATTATGGCGTAATTTTAAATCAAACGTTGTGAATATTTTAGATGATCTTTTTGTACATAAAATCGATTTTAGAGGCACATTCCTCTATCATTCCTACTAGCTGCATAAACTTTGTATCCAATCTCTGTGTCCAGGCCAGCTAGGCAATAAACTACCTACTAGTTAATTACATGCGTGCGCTGACCATGACCTAGCTGCAGGTTACTAGTTGAAGTGCTTACCTACTAGTAAAATGTAGTTAAGCCATGGCTAAGCGGCTAGTTAAAAGTTCAAGTTAATCCATCACTTGAATATGCCGGCTAGTTCTAGTTGAGCAAACTTTTCCAGCAGTTAACTTGCTTAGATAAGTCATGGCTTAGCTATTCATAGCTTGGATACGTCAGAACCAGACTGTCCACTAGGCGTCGCCGATGTGTATTCAAGTTATGAATTAACAATTATTTTACTAGTTAACCTCGGGTTCAGACACGCTTAACTTTAGTTTCCACATAGTTAAGGCCAGGCGTGACTGTACCTACTAGTTATAGTTAACCCATGCGATGGATGTCTTCAGGAAATCGTCTGAGAGTATTTAACAATATATTTTAACTAATAATTACTTTACTTAAATGAGGCATGCTGCTGTCTGTCTTGCGAAAACAACTTCAAAAAGTCGCTCACATTCCTCAGTTTTTGTTGTCTTTTTAAAGAGGAATATTCTTATGAGGCTTGTGAACTCTTATCGAGACAAGGTAATGACGAGGAAAAATCTGAAAGATATTGTGAACTCATCTTAAAACGAGGTCATTTTGAGTTATTTCCTGAAATATTAAGCAAATTCGTCGCAAGACGAGGTCATAAGGAGAGATATTCTGAAGGATATTTTGAACTCATCTCTAGACAAGGTCTTGCCAAATTATATTCTGAATTATATGGCTAATTCATGGGAAGACGAAGTCATGACGAGGAAAATTCTGAAGGATATTTTGAACTCATCTCACGACAAGGTCTTGACGAATTATATTCTGAATTATATGGCTAATTCATGGGAAGAAGGGGTCATGACGAGGAAAATTAAAATTCTGAAGGTGTTGTAAATTTGTCGGAAGACGAGATCTTAATGACGTCCGTTGCAGGGGAGGCGATTACTCCTGTACAGATCATTCGTTGTTGATCGATTGTGTGAATAGCGTCTATTTGTAAATAAAACTTCGACTTAAAATTAGAATTATTGTTTTCAATAAAGTGGTAGATCAAGCCTTCATTACATGAAGGCTTTCGGCGAATCATGTTTCACGGTAAACTTGTTTTTGTGAATTTCTAGATGTAAAAACAAAATTGTCATTTTAGATTTGCTTGATTTTCCAATGAAAAAGTGTTAGGATTTTTGGGAACGCTTCTGATAGCTTAAGATGCATTTCAGCATTTTTAAGATGTGTGGTCAGGTCGCATGAGCTCCTTGTCCATATTTGAACACATTATTATGCGAGTCTATTCATATATTGCTTTTTGTATCGCCATGTAGGAACATAGAGAAGCACACCTGGTTTAGTTTACAGAACTTAATTGGAGCTGTAAAATTTCTACAGTGAAGTCTATGAGTAGACATTAAATGAATGAATCACGCTGATGCATCATAAAGATAAAGAATACGCTCTACAAGCATCAACAAAACATCACAGTTTACTAGTTGATGAAATACACAAAAGATAATTTATTTTTAATTGTTATAGCTTACGAGGAGCAAAACCATTAACGATAGAAACGACAAAAGCAGTGATGTTCAATTCAATAGCAATTCAACTTCGTGTATATTTTCAGCAGCATTCAAGTGTGTTTTCTTTCAGAACAATTATTTTATATAACAGGAACTTCTTGACACTAAAAGTTTGTAATGTATTAGAAAGAAAAGAAGAGTCGAAATTCGCCAGCATTTATTTGACTAGCTTTGAATTGAATTTCTTTGTAAAAATTTAAGATGTAAATGTTCTACCGATAAATAGAATCTTCTCCTTTTGATGAATGTTCTTAACCTCCAGTATTATGTGCAGAAGTTCTTCTTGTATGTTATTTAATAAGCTATAAAATGTCATGGTCGTAACCAATGAGAATTTTCTCAACAATATTATCCAATTTTATTTAAAGCACAAAAATTCACAGCCAAGAGATATGAAAAATTATATACTATGTAATTAAAAATGAATAGAAAATAACCTCGAATCTTTTTTGGTATCTTATGCTCCAAATTGATTAATGTGTTAATGAATCTACGGAAATATATGAGTACATTAATTAAAAATCTCCAGATAGTGTCAATTCTGAATCCACAACTATTAATCGAATCCATTTAATTCCATTACTGAAGTTCAGAATTCAATTCCAATTCCTGAGCATCTCTTCCATTTAAAATATTCTCTGTCGTAACATTCATGAGCTTGGCAAGACAAGACGCGACTCCTCGCTTCCAGTCCAAGAAATGTGAAGAAAATGTGAGGGAAATGTGAGGGAAGCGTCGCGTATCTGTCCTCGTAAAACAAATGCCGTTGAACAAAAGCGATGTCATCAAAGCGATTGTTGATGGCGCCCGTAAAGGCAGTCGCGTCGGCCGTTATGCTGCGATTGGATGACACTCCGAACCGCTGACCAATGAGCTTCCATCTCGCTTTGATTGTGTCGAGTTCCCGTTGATGTAAGGCCGATTGTGTCGCATTCCTGTTGATGCGACGCCGATATCAAATTATCGATGGAGTCAATATTATTACTGGAGCTCTTCATGCGATAGAAAAATAGTTCATTTTAGTCTGGAGAAACCCCTTTTCAGTTATTTCTAGCAGCAGTGAGGCTGAGTTTTTCGATCAATTGAAGGCGGTTGTGTCAAAATTCAATACAATAAATTATTAAGCGGGGTACATGAGTACAAATTAAGCGGGACGATGGCCCAAATAAAATTTGGTTTACAGTCAACAATTTAACTTTCCTTGAGTTCTCGCATTTCCAGTAATTCTCGATGATATCATAGAAATCAATTTTGATCAATTGAAATAAAATATATTATAGAGGTAAGGGAGATAGCAGAAGTCAAAGTGCAAGGAAAAGCAGTGTTGTAGAGAAGAAGATGATGAGTGAATAAGAAGGTGGAATAAGAAATTTAGGAGGAGGAAAAAAATTAGGCAACGAAATTGAGTAAAAGAGGTTAGAGAGAAGTTGTGATAACGTGAAGAAGAGGACGAGCATAAAAGCGGTAGGTGGAGAAGAAGAGAAAGAGGATGGATGAGTGTCTAGTGGAGGAAGAAAGAGGAAAGAAGATGCGTAGAAGCGGAGGAAGGGGGAAAAAGATGAGGAAGAGGAAGAAGAGGATGAAGGGGAAGGAGAGGAGGAAGGGGCAGAAGATAATGAAGGGGAAGGAGAGAAGGAAGGAGCAGATGAGGATGAATGGGAAGGAGAGAAGGAAGGGGCAGATGAGGATGAAGGGGAAGGAGATGAGGAAGGGGCAGAAGAGGATGAAGGGAAGGAGATGAGGATGGGGCAGATGAGGATGAAGGGCAGGAAGGGGGCAGGAAACGCCGGGCGCAGTAGCGCGATAGCAGCAAATGCGATCATAAAGCGGGCTCATCGTAGCGCCATTTGCTTGCGTTTATCTGCGCCGCCCCCCGGGTCTCTTCTCTCACTTCTCCCTCCTACACCCCTCTCCCTTCTCCCTCCTCCCCCTCCTCCCCCTTCTCCCTTCTCTCCTCCTCCCCTTTCTCCCTTCTCTCCTCCTTCCCTTTCTCCCTCCTTCCCCTTCTTCCCTCTCCCTTCTCCCTCCTCTCCCTCCTCCCTATTTCCTCCTCTCCCATCTTCTCCCACTCAGTTCTTACATCTCTCATCCTCTAATTCACTACAACCCCCTCCCCCTTGTCAAACTTCTCCTCCAGCCTCACTTCTCCTCCACGCCTTGATTGCGGCGCCGTTGCCGACGACACTTGGCGGGACTGACATTTGTTGGAACTATTACCGTTTCTCCAGTTACTCATCGGTTTCTTATTTTATTTACCCCTTTCTCCGGTTACTCATGCATCAGTTCCTTTCGTCACTCATCTGTTTCTCCTGTTACTCATCCATTTCTCTCTTTATTCGTCCGTTTCTCCAGTTACTCATCCGTTTCTCCTGTTACTCATCCGTTTCTCCTGTCACTCATCCGTTGCTCCCTTTATTCATCCGTTTATCCAGTTACTCATCCGTTTTTCTCTTTATTCGTCAGTTTCTTCCGTCACTCGTCCGTTTCTGGTGCTAAGCGGTCGGTGTAGTCGAGAGATCGGAGGTCGGTCGTTGCTGTGATATTTAATATGTCTAATGGATCAGAGGACGACCTCGCTAATACATGGGAACTGAAGCGTGGGGCTGGAGGAGTCGCGAGGAAAAGTGCAGGGAGA